CGGTTATTCATTTTTTTCCAAAAATGATTGTTGTCGTTATTTTCCTCATGCTTGATTCTGCGGTTCTTGTATGTTGCTTTCGTGTGCTCTCGTATCTGTGATTGTTTTTTTTGCGATCGTATTTGCCTTTTTTCCCATCTTCTTCTTCTGCATTTCTCTATGTTTTTCCGTGCAATGGCATCCTGTTGATTTTTTTCTTTCTTCGTTTCTCATGCTTCGGGCATACAGAAACAGCAGCAAGACTGCTGCTGAATGAGACGTGGACCGCGTCTCTCTTCTTTTCGGTGGAGCAGCAGCACGACTGCTGGTGAAAGTGACCCGGATTGCCTCTTGAACCAAGTGGTGTAACCTTGCCTCTCGGCCTCCAGGACCTCGACCCGGGTGCTCTCAACCCTTGGTGAATGACACATCTTTGCAGACTGTAGTCCTTCCTACAGACTCTGGTCGAGAGCTAAATATGACCTGATATTGGTTTTTGGCACTGTGCTATCACTGCCTATTGCTATCCTAGTGTAATCAAGGGCCTCTCCGAGTTGTTGGGAAATCCCTAGTACCTGGTTCCTAGAAAATTCTACTCCTGCCCCTCTAGATTGTCCTGTAAGTCCACCTGTAGCCAAATTCCAGGTTTCTCCCTGTTACCACAGCTATATGCTATCCTACCCCTGTCTAAGGTATACGAACACGGAAAACAGAGTTAGTACGGGGAGACATCCTTAACTCAGGCAAGCACACAGACACCCTCATGTCATCAGCAGGCCAACACAGACACAGAAAAACAGAACAACATAAGACTCGGACTCGAAACAGATCAAAGATAAAAACTTGATCAGAAAATGCAAATATCTCCACCTGAAATTCTGCGGGTCATATCATCCGAGTGTTGTTCGATATTTTCTCTACATTGTTGGTTCCAAAGCAATGGTTCAGAAGACCATGATAAGCTTATTGGTGGGACCATGGATTTGATTATTATGATGGGAGGACACGACGCGTGTACTGCACAAGGGAGAGACAGGGGTGAGGTCAGCCCACTGGGTCAATAAGGTGATGGGCCCGGTAGAGCCGATCCCACGACGGTTTCGATGTACAAGGTCCGGTGGAAAACGAGGTTCAACAATTTTTTCTTTCACCTGCCTTCCTGGTACAAGCAACATTAAGGTTATCAACACTTCTATGCTGCATGATCATTGAGCAACTCTGACAATGGGAAACAATTGTGGTGTGATCAGCTTCCACTCTCACTCCCTCCCTCCATCCTTCCACTGTTTTCATTTCTCCATTGTCCGTCGAGTTACGTATTGTCTAAAGTACTGTTGCCCTCCCGTCCACGTTGGATAGTGCCGCGGATAAAATGAATGTCCCAAGTTGAAACAGAGAAGGGGACAAGGCATATTGCAGTGGGATCTTGTCCTTTTTAGGTAAAGAAAGGAGAGACCAAATAGGAAACCACATTGGGTTAAAAAAAAAACATGTCCTTTGAATGACAAAATAGTATTGTAACTTGTACATTTAGTTGCAGCCCCACTTGTGTAGGTCTTGGTCTCGATATGGGAATCTGACAGTGAAGATCTGATTGCGAAAAAAATCTGACCGTGGAGACCATGCATTGGATCTGAAGACCTAGACATAGCCATAGCTCACAGGGGCCTGCCCCTTACAGTAGCTATATCGACTTATCCAGGCAGCCCAATTACACACCGATAACTGTTAGTAAAAGGATCATGATTTCGAATCATCTTGGAATCAGGTGGGTACAATAACCACCACTACCTCCAAGTCTGTTTTTGCCGAGGCGGATTCCCCCTGTGCGACATGCGCCAAAAAGAATTGGAAACGTACCACTTCGGTCGCATTTTGCTGCGCCAACCATTTTTTTCCGTTAGGTTAGCACTTTTAATACTGTGACATTTTTTATTCTCGGCTTTGCCTGGGAAAGGTAGTGCTAGTTTAAGGGCTACACGGCTTACACCCCCTTAAGAAAGAGAAAACAAAGGAGCTGATGTACGGACTTTGAAGTAGTACTGATACACCTATGTAACCGTTGCTAAACACGTACTTCAGTTCAAATCTAGATGGAATAATATATCTCGGAATTATCTCTAACCAGTCAGTTCAATGACGATATATTGAGGCTGTCCCCCTTTGAGAAGAAAGAGAAAGGAAATGGGTCATTGAACGACATACGGAGAATAGAACACCCTTTGTTGGGATGAACAAGCGAAAAATCGGACGATGACCAGTGACCTCCGGACTCAACTACAGGGTTTTAATGGCCTCAAAAAAAAAAGGATTCAAGATGTGACGAAAACCACCTCCCTGGCATGAAGAACGTTATGAAAGGGAAGACTAAATGGTGGAGAAAAGGTTAAAAACAAAAAAAAAAAGGTTACAAAAACAACAGACAAGCATCAACGAACTCCCTCAGTAGCTCACAGATTCGTCACATTTTTTTCTAACAGACGGAAAAATATAACAGACGTTGACATCAGGAAATCAATAGAACACAAAGTAAGAAAGTCTGACAAATCTACAATTTTGCACCCAAGTGCTGATAAAAGTGAGGATTCTAAAAAAGGACCAGATGCAGGCAGACAGGAAGAGAGATCAAAGCCAGGATTAGTCAGGATTATACTCTGCTTTGAAGGTCATATAAAGACATCCTAGAGCTCGAGGTGGTAGTCGTAGTGCAAGGAAACTGGTACACATTCATGACTATCAGGTAGGGAGAGGGTGGGAAATAAGAAAAAAGTTAAGAGGGTCTACAAAAAGTGATTGGGAAAAAAATGGGCCAAACACCGAGAAGCAAACCAGAGCGGCTAGTGCAATCGCATGGGAATATTACAGCCCCTTGAATGAAACAGCCGAGAATCAGGAGCGTCAAACGGCCAAATTATTCTCTATCATGCAGGTGCTGTGAATGAATCACTGGAAGAGAGGAGAAAAAAGAGGACTAGAAAATGGAGGAAATGCCACTTTGAAAGATGTGCCCGTAGAGAGAGAGTCGGAATCCCTAAAGAGGACTAGAAAATGGAGGAAACGACACTTTGAAAGATGTGCCCGTAGAGAGAGTCGGAATCCCTAAAGAGGACTAGAAAATGGAGGAAACGCCACTTTGAAAGATGTGCCTGTAGAGAGAGTCGGAATCCTTAAAGAGGACAAGAAAATGGAGGAAACGCCACTTTGATAGAGAGAGTCGGAATCCCTGCTGCAGAGGACCCAGAGATGGCGCAAACACCTAGCCTAGGGGGAAAACCAGAGTGGCTACATGCACTCTCATAAGAATATTACAGCACCATGAAACGGCAGAGGATCAGGACCGTCTAATGACTAATTGTCTACCGTGCAATTTCCGTAAATGAATGGTCGGAGGAGCGGAGAAAAGAGGACGAGAAAATGGAGTAGCTGAGAAAAGAGGACGAGAAAGTGGAGTAGCGAAGAAAAGAGGACCAGAAAATGGAGTAGCGGAGAAAGGAGGACCAGAAAATGGAGGAGCGGAGAAAAGAGGACCAGAAAATGGAGTAGCAGAGAAAAGAGGAGAAGAAAATGGAGGAGCGGAGAAAAGAGGACCGGAAAATGGAGGAAACACGATTCCGCAAGATATGTCTACAGAGAAAGTCTGAGTCCGGCCATAGTGCACTCTGCCTAACTGGGGGTTCCCTCATGCAAAAAAAATAATGAAAAAGTCACAGCTAACTGAGAGTGTGACTCGACTTTTCTCATTGAGCCTGTCTTTCTGCGTAGAGCAAAGGAGAGAGAGAGAGAGAGAGAGAGAGAGAGAGAGAGAGAGAGAGAGAGAGAGAGAGAGAGAGAGAGAGAGAGAGAGAGAGAGAGAGAACCCCGCATACCTTTCAGGTCGCCGAACATGCCCTGTCTCTTATACACATCTAGATGTGTATAAGAGACAGCACTGATTCACTGGAAGGCATATTGATGAGTTGGCAAGATATTGGTGTTGCGCTGATGAGCGCTGGACTCAGGGGAACTTTGAAACATTTTGTATTCATATTTCTGATAATATAAACTGTGAAACTCGGTCCTCATCTTCTCTATCTTTGTCTATTGTCAGACTACTGTTCATTGTGTGTGGGAGTACGATGCATGGCATGTACACACTTGCGTGAGATGGTCCCCAGGACCCATGCAGTATGCTCCTGAAGAGCCCACATGGTGTTGCAGGGATCAGGCTTTTGGGTACTCTAGCTCAAGGGGATTGAAGAGTGGCAGAACATAGAGAGGGATAGCTGGTCGGAAGGGTGGGCTTAGGTGAGAATATCATTGATTGGGCTCAGTAAAGCAGGACACATTGGTCGTGTCGTAACTGTTACAAGTCCGAGTTGCAAATGGTGGCTACATTCACTTAGGCGGGATGGGAGGGTAACCAGTGAGGATAGTGATCAATGTATAGGAGACCCATACAACAACACTAACGGAAGAAGATATGAGAAGAGAATTGGATAGTGTTACATGCTGCACCTGCACACGGCCCCCATTTCCGGGGCCCGACAGTTGCTGAGGGGCCCCCAGGCCACATACCCATCAGATACACGCCCTGGAGCCCCACGGTGGCCCCCAGGCCGCGGGTTTCGACTACAGGCATAATTTAGTTATTTATTTATATTTGCTGTCCTATTTTTGTCTGTGCAGATGACGTTTCGGACTTGCAGGCCCCAAGGCTCCACCTGGGGCTGGGTACACAGGAGCGAGGCCGTTTTTAGGCCAGGCGTATTTTTGCGCCTTGCTGCATCAGCAGCATGGTCTGGACACCCGGTAGGGGCCCAGACTGAGTGGGCTGTTTGAGGCCAGCATCAGGGGCGCCCAGCCAGGCCCAGCGCTACTTATAGCTGGGCAGCGACTGGGCATGGGAACAGTTCGAGTAGCTCACTTCTTGGGAGACATGCTGCTGGAGCAGCGCGCGACACAGTGCTGCGTTATGAGCTAGAGGTAGAGGAGTAGGTAGGGAGACAGGGCGGAGGCCAGACCTGCAGCGTTCGAGTACGTACCTGGGCACCATAGCTGGACTTGGCTCCAGCGACCTGCAGTACAGCGTACGCCGGCGACGTCAGTACTTGGCGGCAGTTCCCTCCAGGTGAGACAGTGAGGAGGACGATATCTTCTTGTTCTTCTTCTTCTTCTTTCAGAGACTGAGACAGAGAGAGGTTACTGGCAGAGGTCACTTCGGGCATGATGCCCGGGATCTGGTCCGACATTTTTGTGGCAGACATTGATTGGACTTTCGATGGGGAGACTATTTTGGACTTCGCTATCACGGTCTTGTCTTCTCCCTCGCCCCCAACTTCGTCTCGCCTCTTCCCCCATCCCTCATCCGTGGTATCTCCCCCGTGTGCGTGTGCAAGGAGGGACCTTTCGTCTATGTGTGCAGTCCCTCCTACCTCTCTCACATGAGTGATGTATAATGGGATGTCGCGTCAGTACCTGACAGGTCAGGTCCTATCTTTGAGTCTTCCATTGCGCTACCTTGTGCCATCTTTGTATGAATCTGGATGTACACTGCTGTTGATGCTTTGCTGACACTGCATTGTCCAGTCGAGGTCATTTCATCACTTTGCGGATTCCAGGCTCCCTGTGCATTGCTCGATTGACTGTCTGGTTTTCTTATAAATGGGCCTGAAAAATGGGTGCTTGGTTAACCTGCTCTCCTCGATTGAGCATGCTTCAGATAGAGAGTTACCACTATTTACAACTCAGACTTCTTATAGTCATTACTCTCTCTCTTTCTCTCTCTCTCTCTCTCTCTCTCTCTCTCTCTCTCACACACACACACACACACACACACACACACACACACACACACACATACACACACGCACACACTCATGCACACTTTATCTTATTTGTTCTCTCTCTCTCTCTCTCTCTCTCTCTCTCTCTCTCTCTCTCTCTCTCTCTCTCTCTCTCTCTCTCTCNAGAGAGAGAGAGAGAGAGAGAGAGAGAGAGAGAGAGAGAGAGAGAGAGAGAGAGAGAGAGAGAGAGAGAGAGAGAGAAAGAGAAGAGATAGTGGGGGGGGCAAAGGAGGGAATCATATAGTACTTGATTAGGAGAACAGAAGTGTGGATGAAATGAGGAGCGAGATGTAGAGAAACGATAGCAAAAAAGAAATCAGCGACAAAAGAGTCAAGGAACGAAGCCACTGAAAGTATGGGAGGAGGGATTAAGGCGGAGCGGAGCGGAGAAAAGTTGTTGTGCAACGGACAGAGAATTTAGCCCCCTTTAAATGAAGCAACGTGTAGAAGGTATTCAAGAAGATGCTCTTAATGTGGAGGGTAGAAGAAGTGACAGGCAAAGGGTCACATCATGAGCCAGTGTTAAAAGGGGCAGAATTCAACAAGTGGAGTACGACTTGGAAACGAATGGAATATGAAGAAGGATTACACGATAAATGTACCCCCAATTGTGCACAGGAAGAGAGCAGGTACGTAACCTAACGAAGATATCCGGCAGGCTGTTACGGTTGAGAGGAGGGTCTCAAAGAATCCTTAGGGAAAGCAGTCCTACAACAGGAACAGGCGTGGAGCAGTACTAAATTCTTCCTGTCAAGGAAGGAATCATTGGATTATAGCAGATCGGGATCTTTGGACTGTAACGGAAGGAAGCGTTGAGTGCGTGAAATTAGCTATAAGGGATGCTGGACTCGATTTCAACTTCCCGGCCTTTTATGTATATATATAATTTACTTACCCCCCCCAAAAAAAACAAGAGTTGTTGAATTTCACACAGCATAATGAAGCACTTTGCTGGTTTCTGAAGCTATCCTGGGCACAATGGACTGGTGCTGCCTCGGTTGGCTTGGTGGTACAGTTTGAGCCGCCAACTCTGGTGCTGCTTCCGCAAGAAGGTCGCTAAATTTCGGTCCCCATTTACTCAGTACTTTCTTCAGGGCTTCTTTCTTCACTGGCTTAGTCAAGAAGTCATCCATCCCGGCTGCAAAGCAGCGTTCCTGATCTGACTGAAGTGCGAGCCCTGTAACTGCTATGATGGGCAGACGGCGTCTTCCCTCCGCTTTCTCCCGTTCTCTGATGACCATCGTTGCCTCAAACCCGTCCATGATAGGTGTTTGACAGTCTGTGAGAATCAAATCGTAACCATGATCGACAGGCTCCACGGCATCAACTGCCTCCTTCCCATTGTTAACGATGCCGAAAAGGATTCCTTCCTTTTCACACATGTTCTTGAGGATCTTTTGATTCACCAGGTGATCTTCCACAATGAGCACCTTCATTTGCCTGGGTTTTGCTGCAGCAGGACTAGGGGCACTACCGCCTGCAGGAACCGCCGCGCCCGCCCGAGAAGAGAAGGAAAATGCGCTGCCACGTTGGCCGCCAGGTTGGCCGGGTGCTCTGGGGGTCTTAGGCCCAGGATGATTGCTGTTGGAGGCTACAAGAGTGCTTAATTGGGGCCCATATTTGGCCAGCATATTCTGCAGTGCTTCTTTCTTGAGAGGCTTGATCAAGCAGTCGTCCATTCCTGCGGCAAAGCAGCGCTCCTTGTCAGAGGCGAGAGCGAGTGCTGTCAGCGCAATGATGGGCATCCTTCGTCTTCCTTCAGCCTGCTCTCTGGTTCTGATTGCCTTTGTGGCTTCAAAGCCATCCATGACAGGGGTTTGACAATCGGTCAACAAGATGTCGAACCCATGATTGGGCGGTTCGAGCGCATCTAATGCCTCCTTGCCATTCGACACTAGCTCAAATTTAACCCCTTCTTTTTCCAACATGTTTTTAATGATCCTCTGGTTTATAATATGATCCTCAACCACTAAGAGGCGGACTTTTCGGGGGACTCCAGGGGATACTGCAGGCGAACCAGCCCCCTCTGCAGCGCTCTGACCGGCCACACGTAGCGTTTTGGAATCCATGTTGGTTTGAAGTACAAGACTGGTTAATTGGGGCCCAAATTTTGCCAGCATGTTCTGAAGTGCTTCCTTCTTGAGAGGCTTGATCAAGCAGTCGTCCATTCCCGCTGCAAAGCATCGCTCCCTGTCTGAAGCGAGAGCGAGTGCCGTCAACGCAATGATGGGTATCCGTGGTCTTCCTTCGGCTTGTTCTCTGGCTCTGATGGCTTTTGTGGCCTCAAAACCATCCATGACAGGGGTTTGGCAGTCGGTCAACAAGATGTCGAACCCATGATTGGGTGGTTCAAGTGCATCTAGTGCCTCCTTCCCATTGGAGACCAGCTGAAAATCAACCCCTTCTTTCTCTAACATGTTCTTAATGATCCTCTGGTTAATGACATGGTCCTCGACAACTAGTAGTCGTACTTTTCTGTGCGTACGAGCAGGTTCCATAGAGCTAGGGGGGAGAACGGCCACTACCTCCTTTCGTGGTGAAGCAGGGGTAGAAGCAGCAGCTGGAGGTGCCATATGAGGCACACCCGTTGGAGAGGTGTCAGGAGCTAGTTCCGTTAGCCCAATGATGCTCTCAAGGGCATAAAAAAATGAACTGAACGCAACTGGTTTTTTGAATGGCAAGGCATTGAAATGCTGCCATTGGTGAATGCTCATGCCGGCACGAACAAGGAGAATAATTTTCAGGTTCCGAGAATTAACAGTGTGCAGAAGCATTTTCTCATCATCCGTTTGTCCCGAGGGTGAGAGAACCTCGGCATCCAAGACTATAAGCTTAATCGACAATGGATCAACAGCATCAGCCTGAGGGTTGTCCTTTCCCAAACGCACTGATGTACGCCCAGCTCTGGACAAGACGCCAGGAGGTCGGCCTGAGTCATTATCTTTCTCCAAGGCATTAAGTCCTGACAAGAGATTGATCGACGCTGACGAGGGCAACAATGATGTTCTTTTCCCCGTTAGTCTCTGCACTCCCAGCATGGTGTTCTCCTCCACAGAGCACTGGTGCCCCCACTGCATTGCATAGCGTTTGATCACGTCGCACTCAGTGGGTGATGGTGATATTAGAAGTAGCTTGATTGGTATTGACGACTTCCAGCTGAAGCTCAGGGTCGACTGGGTATTGGGATCAGAAGCCTCTGGGTCTGTGGGCTGGATGTATGGCAGACGCATGGTGAACCAGAAGGTCGTCCCTTGATCAAGCTCGCTCGTTATGCCGCAAGCGCCCCCCATCAACGACACCAGACTCTTAACGATCGTCAACCCTATTCCTGTCCCTCTGTGGCGGAGCTTGCCGAACGAGATGGACTCTGCGTCAACCTTATTCAGGGTGTTAACTACCTTTTCCAGGTTCTCTTTGGACATGCCGATGCCAGTGTCTTTGCAGGACACACGGATAATGCTGAACTGGCGGGTTCTGCCGCCGGAATCCGGAGGCATGGGGGGGGTAGTCGGGTCATTGTTCATGCTCTGGATCTCTTCTGCCTTGATGAGAATATCTCCCTGATTGGTGAAAGTGATGGCATTGGAAAGAACATTTGTCATGATCTGGCCCAACCGAAGAGGGTCGCCAAGGAACAACTCGTGGTGAATTCGCATGTCCATGATGACACGAAGTCTCTTCTTGTATGCAACGTGGCACATTGAAAGCACTCGCTCCTCGATCTGCTCACGAATATTTATAACTTCTTCTTGTAACTGGATGAACCCATTATCTATTTTTTTGACGTCCAGGACGTTATCAACAAGCGAGCTCAGTTGCTGACTGGCTTGCTGCACTGTGAACACCAAGTCCTCCTGGAGGATGTTTAGAGGAGGTTCTGAGGAAAGGAGAAGCTCGCTCATGCCTATAATGCTTGCTAGAGGTGTGCGTACCTCCATATTCAAATTGGAAATGAACTGGGTTGTGGCTTGGTTGGCAGCTTCAGCCTCAGTTGCCTTCCTTGCGGCCTCTGTAGCAGCCATGACCACAAGGGTCAGGCTCTGCTCGCTCGATGCAGTCGTGTCTAGAGTGTATGATGTTGTTAGCAACGACCCGATCGTCGTAAACGTGAAAAATGTGACGACAATGATGCGGATGTCCTCCCGACTAGCTATCCCAGAAGGCACCAGAGGGCGTGCAACGTCTCCGAGAAAGGTAATAGCATGATGATTAATGATAACAGCCTCATACATCAGTGCAATGGCCGCAGACGCGGCCAGCGCAACGCTGAACCGACAAAAGATGTTCACATAGAGAGTCAATGCAAACACAATCAGCCATGTTTCTATGCTCATCGAGGCCAAGCCAGGATGGATGTAGCAGCAGACAATCACAACCCACAACGTCATCACCATCAAGATGGCAAACCCCCACTCGCATCGAACTGGGTGCGCTGCCATTATTCCCTGAAAGTGGGAGCTGAAGGTGTAGATGCACAGGGCTAGAAAAACCCCAAGCCATGTACTGCAAAGCACTATGTTGACCTTACTCACCACCACCTCCTCAAAGGCTCTCTTGAGGAAAGGCCAGGAGGCAAGCTGCATCCCAAGCATGATCATGACTACCCGTACAGGCTCGACAGAATCGCCAAGGCGCCAGGACATTGATCCTTGAAGCTTCTGCAGGAGAGAGACCGTGCTTACGGAAAATGCTTGCCTAGTAACGCTTCCAGTGCTTGCAATCTGTCTTCTCACACGGTTCAGGGGCTGCTGAGGCTGCTGCATCTCCTCCTTCTCCTCTTGTTGCTTCTGACTTTCACTCGTTGGCTTCTGCAACGCATCGTCAGGTTGTTCTTGAAAAAGTGGGGAAGCAGTAGACACTTTCCACTCACTCCCAGGGATAGGTTTAACTACCAATGGGGTATCAACAAACTCAGGTGAGTCGTATGCCGCCCCTGAAGTCGGTAAGAGCGGTGATGTTCCCAATGGCGACTTGGAAGCCAATCCATTTGCAGTTGCAACTGCTGCAGCAGCGGCGGCCGCAGCAGCAGCTGCTGTTGCTGTGGAAGATGAGTTGAAGGTTGGGGAATTTAATAACGCAAATGGACGGGTGTGTGTGCTTGTGCCCCCTGCGGAGGATGCATGCAGTGGGTGTATTTCATTTTGCTGTGGTTGTTGTTGTGCAGTGGCCCCCAGTTTGGGCCCAGGTTGTACAGCCGTTGCAGCAGCAGCAGCCGCCGCGGCGGCTGCAGCCACTGTGGAAGATGAGTTGAAGGTTGGGGAGTTTAATAACGCAAATGGACGGGTATGTGTGCTTGTGCCCCCTGTCGAGGATGCCTGGAAGGGGTTTATTTCGTTCTGCTGCTGCTGCTGCGGCGCAACCGGTCCAAGTTTGGGAGCAGTTTGTGCAGCTCCAGACTGTGTTCCCTGAGTACCATCAGGTGGAATAGAGCTATCCTTCTTTTCGCCTTGGCCTTCTGTTTTTTTATCAGTGGTTTCAATGACCTCATCTTCTATATCAAGTGCCTTCAGGAAGTTCACCAGATGCATCGTGCCATGCCTTACTGACAAAATCTTCTTCAATACCTCCTCTTTGCTCTCCAAGGCACTAGCCGAGCTTTTTTTGAATCGTCTTCCCTTTGCAATAGCCTCCTCATCAACCTCGCTGAGCTTACGTACTGGGCGTGGCATCATAAGTGCCCCACCAGGATCTGCCTGGCGAAACACTATGCTCTGGAACTCTCTAGATGCACCCTCAAACGACAGAATTGTTTGTCTCTCCGCTTCTTGTCCAATGAACACGGAGTTTTGGTACTCCAAGACCAATGTTGAGTAATCTTTCACACTTGTAGCTCTGGGCGGATCAGGGATGTCTACTACTGCTTCACCAGGCTTAACTGGACCTGTAAGAGCTGGAGGATAAGAAGTTAGAATAGTTTTGAGATGCTTGCCTGACACTTCCAAGAAATCCCTCATACAAGATGCCAAGTGCTGTGCTCGGATTGGCATATAAAGGATGGCAAATATGTCTTTTGCCACTAGTCTGCTCAAACTGTTCCCATCCGCCATCTGCCGATCTTTTGGCAGCATCACCCAGTACGCACCCTTGGTGATTCGGTGCTTCCGTCTTTTGATCATTGTATACAACTTGTGCTTTGCAATATCCAACTGAACCAGCTCCTCCTTTTCTTTGATATCACTGATGAAGCAAATCCTGTGGGCATCTCTCTTGTCACTCATAACTCCCACAGGTCCAGAGAACTCTGTGCTGAACAGGTGTTGTGGAGAGGCAGCAATAGCCACAGTGGCATTGGGCCACTGTGAGAGATAAACTCTCAGCATGGTACGAATCACCCGAGCCTTGGCAATTCCGATGATAAACAGTGGTGCGTTAACGACAACATCTGTGTTTGACTCATCGTTTGTTTTCAATTTGTCATTTTTGTTTCCTTCCTCGTCTGTGATACCTAGAGGAACACTTGTGCATCCATTCGGTGCAACTTTTCTCAGTACCTTGATCCCTTTGGTCATGACATTTGTATGTACTTCTTCCTCTTCCTTGCTCTTGGGTCCCCCTACGTCCGTCCCCGGGACAAATGCACCTATACCCCTGTCTGTTGGATTATGTATGGGCATGAGAGGGATCTCAAACCAGAAGACAGATCCAATTGGGGTTCCAGGCTTAACGATGTCATTTGTAACCGCCCCCACCCTTCCCTTCATTACGTTCACAAACCCCTTCACAAGAGCCAGCCCTAGTCCTAATCCACGGTTTACTTGGTTCAGTGTGTCCCTCACCTGTGTGAACTCCTGGAAGAGAAACTTCAGGTTCTCTTCAGGAATGCCGGGCCCAGTGTCAAAGCATCCAAACCTAACAATCCAAGCACCCATGCAGGTGTCATGTTTATCCACCACAATACCGACCTCTCCCTTCTGTGTGACCTTCACTGTATTCTCAAACAAGTGTTTCAAGACGGTGAGAACAACACCAGGATCACCAAGGAAGATGCAGCTTGGCAATTTGTAGATAATTGAGACCGCTAAACCTTTGGACAACCCCAAGGTTACCTGTTCTGCCACCACCTCCTCCACTATTTCCAGCAGATTGAAAACCTGAGGATTGAGCTTGAAGGTGCCTGCATCAAGCTCAGAGAAGTGCAGCACGTCTTCGATAACTTGAAACAGCTGCACAGCAGACTCGTGGATTGTGGTAGCATACTCTTTCTGTTCCTCAGTCATGGGAGTGCCCGCCATCAGCTCGCCACATGCAAGGATGCTGATGATTGGGTGTTTCACTTCGTGGCTGAGGTTCGAAATAAAGGAAGACTTGAGATCTTTTGCAAACAGCGCATTCTCCGCCACAGCAGTTGCCTTCTCTGAAGTCTTAAGCTCCCAACGAATGTAGAATTGCTTTCTTATGAACTTTTCCATCAGAAACGCAGCCCCAACTAGATGGGTTAGCAAGAAGACGACTTCAATCAAGAATCGATTTGCAGTGTCTGTCTCCGCTCTGCGATCCAGGGGCTCTAGGATTGAACCATACTGTGGCATGTTATTGCTCACTGCGACAAAGATGCTGCAGAGGAAGAACTCCATCAGGGCGGCATTGTAACACTTCAACCCAAGGCAGCCCACTGTGACAGTGGAAACAGCAAATACAGCTTGCACACCGGCCACCCGCGAGTATAAACAGGGGAGGAGTATAATTGGACAGCCTATGAAAAGGCAGCATGAACAGGCAAAAGGCTGCCAGTTGGCTATCTGGAAACTGTCTTTGTAGGTGGCCCAATACATAAAGCTGCAGAGCATACAAATGGAGAGTCTTACAACAATAACTTTGACTATAACGTTCTTGTAACCAAAAGATATGATATCAATGAAAATGTATGCACCAACCAGTATGCCTAGGATAACAAGACCGAGCCGAAGACTTCGCTGATTTCGCACAACGAATTCGGCCATGAATGCCTCCTCCAGCTCTGGATCTTTGAACGCCAATGTGTACGAGTCCAGTTGCCCCGAGAACTTCCTGTCGCTCTTTTCCATTGACAGGAATGAAAGGCGCATGCCCAGCTGTGAGTCTCTATGAACTGCTCCGTCCACAGATGAAGGGCTGACACTTGCATTGCTTCCCCTCCGAGAATGGCGAGCACTAGGTCCTTCCCTATCCTGGTCGTTTCTTCTTTCATCTACACCGATTATAGACACTCGTTTGCGTGGAGCCACTGGCTTTGAATCCTTGTCTGACTTACCCTTATCTGATCCAGATGTGAAGTAACTATCGTCTCGCTGCATCATCATAGGATCAGAATCTCGTCGATGCCCGGACGGAAGAATCTTTCTGTGCATCCTTCCTTCCTCGTCATTTTCAATTGACCGAGGTCTGTCCTCCCGTGAAGTCTTCATTATCGACCTCCTTCTGCTTGCATCACTCCTTAGGATCGTAAGACCGCTCTCCCTCGTCACCTGCCCTGTGTCTGAGTGCCTGCTATCTTCTCGGCCCATGGTTACTCAGCTGAACAATTGTACCGAGGTCTGGGTTACAGGCTTGGAAACTAAATCATGCCAATCAGTCAAATAGGAGCACCGAACATCTCCTTCACCATATCCGCCAACTCTGAAATCCGTTTTTATCAACAATGAGGAGAAGGTGGCTGTGAGGGCTCATTCCAAATCTCTATAGTCTGGATATCCCTCTGTCCATTGCACAATTTATGCAATGGCTTTCTCAGAGTCTGCAGCTGCCAGTGCTTCTGCTCCTGTTCTTATCAACACCAGTTTCATCTTCGAGACTGACCAGGAACAGTAAGTCCTCTCCCAAATCTGAAACCACAAAGCAAAAAAAGTTTTAAAAACTTGATTTACACAATTGGCCACCCTCCAGCTGTAGCACATTGCTCTTGCATCATCTCAGTGTTCAAGTCACAGTGACACTCCATTAAACTCCCTCCAAATCTCTCTCTCTCTCTCTCTCTCTCTCTCTCTCTCTCTCTCTCTCTCTCTCTCTCTCTCTCTCTCTCTCTC